CCCCAAAACCCCAAAACCCCAAAACCCCAAAACCCCTAACATGTTTAAATTTTTTGAAAATTATTTAAAAATGCCGAGAAAAGAGCCAAATCAAGATAAACTCAAGACTATGATCAAAGATCATATTGAGAACTCTAAGGTTGTTGATACTATTAAGGATTTTATCTCTAAGGATAGGAATCTCACGGTTGACGATAAGAACGCTATTATACAAAAACTGAAGGCTGAAGGGATCCTGAGTCATATTCTCCGCTCAATCCCCACCACTAAGGTTGACCCAGACAAGAAGGTTGTAGCTGGTATAAATGTTAAATAAATCTGAAGAAAGAGATATTCCTCATAAAGATCTCCTTGATAAAAATAAAAAATATGTCGTTTGAAAAATCAATAAAGGAGCTTCATTTGTAGACTTTGTCAGTCCTCAAGATGATGAATACTTAAAAGTTACAGTGAGTTTTATGGATCAAAGATATTCTTCGGATCCAGTTCCTGCTACAACTGATCCCGTCTTTGATTTTACAGTTTGAATGGAAATTCCAGCTCACCTTGATCCAGCTAGCTTATTGACTGCATCTATTCCTTTAATAGTAGTGATCCAGAAACAGAAAATCGAAGAAAGAGCTGTAGTTTTATCTACTGAAAGAATTGATTGGAGAGACTTATTATCTCACAACTCGGTGGAAATGGTCAAAGAAATGCAGCCCATCGATCTGAAACATAGAGGGTCTCTTGGTGTGTTGTATATTGACCTTGACCTCCATCCTTATCTGACAAAAGACAGCCTATTAACAGCTACTACAGTGAGAAAACAACAAGATGCAGAGAAAAAGTTTGAATCCGAAGCACATCAACAATTCTTAAATTATGCAAAGACTTGGTACTCTGAGTTCAAAGAGATCAGAGCTAGTCATACTAAAAGATTAGTAAAGATGTTTGCAGAGACAGATGACAGATCCAGCATCTATACTCCTATTTGTTCACTGATTTACCCTTTGATAGCCCCTAAGATGATAGATTCTCCTCTGCATGCTTCTAGATTTGTTTCATTGATTCCTTTCCAGAGAATCGAGGATTTCAATAGTGATAGACTCGAGATCTGGCATAGCATGCAAGCCTTTCTTTCTAAAGGTTGAGGAGACACAGAAGATCACTCTGTTCTTCTATGAAACCTTCTTCTAGGATTTGGAATGGATTCATATGTCTGCATTGGCACCAATACAGAAGGATCTCACACTTGGGTGATGACTATAGATACTTCTACTGGTAGAAAGACTCCATCTATAACTATTTGGGAAGCCCTCACTGGTCAAAGATTTAAATTAGGGGATGCAAGAGTTAGTAAATTCTACAGAACTTTAGGATGAATGTTTAATGACAAATGATTTTATGCCAATATTCAGCCTAGTGATCTAGTTAAAGATACAATATTTGACTTTGATGATGATTCACTCTGGAAATCGATGGAAATTTCAATGATAAAATCCTTACCAAAAGTTCCTATTGCAAATTTAATGCCAAGCAAATTAGACATAATTGATGAAGAAAAAGCTCTTGAGAAAGCATTAAAATCTAAAATCTCGGGACTTCGGTTCTCTGAATGAGGTCTAAAATCAAAATATGATAAGAAAATGGAATATATGTTAAGTATCCCACTTCATAACTATGAACTAGAGCGTTTGGGGTCGATGACTTTCTGAACCTCTGAGTTTCAAAGCAGCGTAAAAAATTATGTTCCAGAAAACCATACCTTCAAAGCTTTTCCGATTCAATTCAATCACTTTGATATTAACAAGATGATACTTGCCTTATTCAAAAACAAGGTTGCTTATGACATCATCACTGCGAAAGGTGACCAGGTTCATCATGCTGTTAGGATTAAGATAGTGTCTTATCCTGACAATGTCTGTGCTATCTGGGTCATGATTGCAGTCAGGTACAAACAACTTCGTGAACAATAATTCAATTCCTACTTTATTAAAAGGGGTTTTGGGGTTTTGGGGTTTTGGGG